AACACCTGCACTCTCTTGAACGGGTTGGTCAGCTCTCCAGTTTTGTGATGCCATCTCTTGGCTTTAGCCATGACCATCGATCCGAAGTTGACCATTGGCTTCGATCCCACTCCCAGCCTCTGAAGTTGTATGCGAAGTCGTTGAGTAGCAGCATGCCTCAGTGCGCATGGCCAGAGCGACGCCTCCACCTTGCTGGTGTGAAGAAGGAGCCTCATCCTTCGCTTGAGCTGCAGGAGCTCTGCTTCCACCCTGCCATTCGACTGGCTATCATCACCCGAGGTCATCGTGTGAACCATCTCCCTGGCCTGCACCCACTTGGCCACTGCCTTCGTGAGGAAGGACTTCTCCCGGTCCGAGTGCAGCCGACATGGCCGCACTCCCAGCATCCTGTAGTGAGCATGGACCTTGGAGAGCGCCTGCACGATGTCCTCCACCGCTCGAGATTGCATCGGCTCTGCAATCGTGAGGTTCTGAAGTGGAACCTCTTCCTGAGCTCGCTCCAGCGCAGCTTTCATGTTCATCTCAGCCACCTGTTCCTCTGTCGCCAATTCCACTTCCTCTTTCTCTTCTTCAATCTCCACCACATCCTTGACCTCCGACTCATGGTCCAGTGGTTCCTCTGGTGCCCCAGCTAGATCCTTCACTATCGGCACCGGGATCGTCGCCACCATCACATACCTGCACCACTGGTTCAATCCAAGGTCTCTCCCCTGCTCAAACGGACCCATGATGTCCACCGCCATCACGAAGGCAGACGAGGCGTTTCTGGAGCGTCGATGTGGGCTGGAGAATCCCATTGCTTCCACACAATCCCGACAATCTCTCCTGTAGGGAACGTGTTCTTGCTTGATGTGCCTCTTCCATTCCTCCACATCCATCTTGGCCAATCCGATGTGAGCTCTCCCCCCAAACCGAAGATTCAAGGCCAGTCCAATCGCCTTCACCAGCCCACTGGACCACCGCGCCCACGACCGAGATGCTTTCATTCTCTCCTGTAGCCCTCCCTCCACTGGGTCCGCCGATCCTCCTCCCCTGAGTCCATTCAGATCTTCCAGGTGACGAAGGTTGGTCAGCAAACTAGTGGGTTTTCGCCGGGAGTGCCCCGTTCGTCCTTGGTCGAAGCTCACCAAGCTCATTCCATACTCGTCCACCATTCTCCTCAACAATGGCCATTCAAAGAAAGATGGGTGATCATGCCCGGCATCGACTCCATCTCCCACATAGCTGGCAGGGTCCTGCGGAGATTCCAGAAGAAATGCCACCGGATCAGGTCCTTCCCGATGCTCCTCCGCTAGGTGCCATAGCCCCACCTGCTTCACCACCAGTGCGGAATCCCCTCGCACCTGTTCACGTTCCCGGGCCGTTAGCCCCTCCAGGCCCCAGCGATCATCGCCACGACCTCTCACTCTCCTCGGTCCTGGCGGCCCCTTGCACCTCAATCTGCTCGTGGTACGACAAGGCGGACCCCCAACCACTCCTTTCACCTTCCCGGATCTGGCCAGCGAGCACACGTAGCTCCACACATTCGCATTGTGCACATTGAAGCCAGCTCCCAACTCCAAATCCAGGAAAATCCAATCCATGTCATCGGGCAGTGTGCCTTTCCACCTCCCTGTATCCGCTCCAGAGAAAAGGTGAATCACCAGGCCACGACTTCGCTGATGTCGACGCCTCTGACGTCTATTCCAAGGCAGCAACTCTGGGCTCGGTTCACTCGAAAACCCAACCATCATTTCCAGCACGTCCTCCGGCACGTCCGGCATGATGCTACGCCACCAATTCCAGTCCACTTGGGACAATCTCTTCCGATTCTTCTGGTTCTCTTCAAACTCTGCCAACATCACCATGGCGTCCTTTCTATTCATGACAGGGCACCCCGATCTCAGCCAACACTTCACAGCTCCAAGCTGCTGGTGCATGATCGTGCACCCCTGCCCATTCCAGTGAATGGCATACCCATTCTCCACTAGCAGACTCAGCGGCAAGATCGGCTCCACTGGCTCCAAGGACAAGAGGGTGTCAAAGTCCGGGTGCTTGTACAAAGTTGTACATCCATGGGCAAGCTCCACCGTCACAGGCTGCAACCTCCCTCGCTCCTCCTGTCTTGCCATTCTCAATGGGTGAGTAGCTCCACCATCCAATAAGGCTAGCTCCAAACCCTCATTGGTATCTGCCACATGAATCTGCTTCAATCTGAAAGTCTTCATGCTGCGGAGGGACTTCAAGAGGGATGTGGCCTCAGTGATCAGCTCCGACGTTGGATCACCCTTCTTTTCCAATTCAACTCCACCATCCCGTCCTTTTTCTCCTCCACCTGCCACCGGCCGTGTAGCCGCGGACAAAGAGCTCGTCAATGGAGTAGTTCCTGACTTTTCATTCGGGCCAGTCTCCTCCTTCTCCGACGTCCCTCTCCCACTTCCCTTCAGCTTGGCCGTCTTTTTCCCATCCTTCTCCGGTCGCTCCCGACCATACGGACAGTCCTTCGCAAAGTGGTTCTCCCCTGAGCAGTGAAAACACCTGCCCGTCTTGTTGATGCCCTCCCAGGCATGGGCGAAAGTACAGGTCTCTCCCCGCTTGCACCCACCAGTAGTACCCCAGTAACGGCATGGATGTTTCGTCTTTGTTGGTCCATCTCCGCCTCCGCCTCCTCCACCCAAGGCCTTAATCGTTGGCTGAGCTCCTGCTACCGGTTGAAGGACTGCTCCTGCACCGGTATTCTTGGCCGACGAGGGATGCGGCATAGTCAACGCCAAATCCTCCGCCTCAGCCTGGAGAAACTCTGCGAACTCCTTGGTAGTGGTTAGCGTGGGCCTCCGATCGACCTCAAGTTCCTGCCGAGCTGCTGCAATCCTGAATCCCACTTGGCTTCCTCCATGCTTCGTGAGGTTCTCTGCAACCTTGGACAAGGCCTGAATCAAGACCATCGAGTCCGGGATCGCCACATGCAACTCTTCAGCTCGACAAATCCACCTGCGCCAGGTTCGGATAGCGCCCAGTGTATCCTGAATAGAACTGCCGCACTTCACCTCCGTCAGGCTGCGCAACAGATTTCCCCTTTCTGCATTTCCACCAGGTTGGTAGATGGTGAAGAGCTTGTACAAAATCGCCTGAGTCGCCACTCTTCGACTTGCAACAATGTCCTTTCTCACCGGTTCCGGGAGCGCGGCTAGCAGAGTCGAGCTCGCCCGCTGATCCAATCGTTGGAACCGTGGGGACACCTGCTCCTCCACCTTGATTCTCAACCGCCCCAATGGCGTCGCCAAAAGCCACTCATTGTACTTCACCTCCACTTCTCGCTGCACCCAATCCCAAAACTCGCGAGACGACGTACTGAGGTCTCCCATCAACGGGGAGATCACCGTCAGCCAGTCCCCAAAGAGCAGGGCCGCATTCTCAGTCGAAGGTGATGGCAACTGTGGCAATTCCAAGTTCCGCATTGCCTCAGGCAGTGCAGCTGTCACTGATTCCAGCGGCTTCATCACGCTCGCCGCCCCAATCACTCCACTTCCATTACCTCGAGGATCGTGTACCGGAGCAAGACCAGGAGGAGTGTCAGGTGGTCCACCAATCTTGGTAGGTTCCCCCACTGTCTCCTGCTGCCCCTCTGCCTTCGCACTCGGCACAGAAGTAAATGATGCCGAATCTCCAGCGTCCGTCATCTTCTTCACCTCCCGAGCAAAGGTTTCCTCAGCCTCCCTCAAGATGCGTTCCCGAAGACGTTCAACATGTCCCAGACCTGGACTCTGTGCAGGATGTTGGCCTCTGGCCCCTTCAGACTCCCGAACATGTGACTCACCCTTGGCCGCTTGCTGCACTGACGTGCTCCAGAAGGGATTCACCGTCCCCAATGGTCCCACCGGGGTGGTAGGATAAGGCTCCAGCACCCGAGGATGTAGGTCATCACGTCCCGCTCCAGTCATGTAAGGTGAAGCTCCCATGCGCTCCGTTTCCACCCCGCTCTGCCGCAAAGGAGTGCCCGCCGCCAGCCCGTGCCCTGGAAGAACTCCACATCCGGTACCGGCATGACCTCCCTGATCACCGGGCCGAAGAAGAGGATCAAGTAGGGTCGGCTGGGAACTGGGCCTTTGAAGAGCATGCTGCAACACTTCAAATGACTGCCGAACTGCCTCCTGCAAATGCCCAAGCCCCAATACCTGGCCTCTTGGGTCATTCAGCAACTGTCGAATTTCCGGTGTTCCCTGGTGGCCACTCGATGCCGTCACAGCTGAATGACCTCCATGGCCACCACCCGCGCCAGCAGCCACGCCCAGCCGCTTCACTTCTGCTGCCACCGGCACTGATTGCGCCCTTGCCGCCTTCGCCTTCATCTCCTCCTCGATCAAGGCATCCAGCCGGCGGTCCGCAGCTCCGACTTCCAGCGGCGCCGCGGCCTCTTTCCTTTCCCGCGACCGCTGTTGCCGTCGCCTCCGCTGCTCCATGGGGACCAGCGACCCCTCTGTTCACCCAACAGCAGGGGGTGGACTTGGAAAATCCAAACAAAAAAGATCACCTTGGGCTCATAACCTGTGGTTATGAAACGGGATGCCCAGCGCGTCGGGCCTTTTCAAACTTGAGCCAAAGTAAGACGAAAACACTCGTAGCGCTTGGCTTTCTACGAGGTGTGGTTGTACACTTTTTGATTTGTGCACTTCATGAATCACAGATTGGAATCCGACTTTGGAGGTTCCAAGATATCATCATCAAGTCATGACTGACAAATTGATACACATTATCGGTCAAATCATCTGCGACCATTTCATGGGTATTGCTGGCACTTTTTTATCACTCTTCTACCTCCAGACTTGTACGCAAGGGCCCATGTGCCAACATATGCCCATAGGTGCTTGGGGTTATCCTTAAATTACCAAGGCCTGCAGAGCAAACTCTTTGAGACATAGCACTTGATAGAGAATGACATCAAGACAAAACTTGGAGAGCCTACCGATTAGTAGCTCTTCACCCTTTTTCCCTGCCCATCTTTCCTCACCCCAGCGGCCGAGGGGGCAGACGCCCGCGTCGCCGATGGGAGCGCAGCTCCGGTGGCACTGGCGGCGTTCACGTGCTTCAGCGTGCTGGTGCCGGGGCTGAAGTGGATGCGGTGCGAAAGTTCTACACGGCCAAATGCCTTTCGCAGTCCAATCACTGGTTGGTCGAAGAATTGGTGAAATTGCCAAACACTTGTGATGTGGGCTTGGCTCCCGCATCAAAGAACTCTCCCAACACCGCTCTTTCCATACTGTGCATTGCAGCTTTTCAGAGTGGTTTCCACCCTAAGCCTAACACCTCCTTCCTTGGGAAAAGCCACCTGAACTCCGTCCCACCAGATGTACCAATCCTCCCCCCTACACCTGTACTCCTTCACCGCCGTCCACCGCGGTTTCCACCGGCAGGAGAAGCTGGGCACGGCCCTGAGCGATGTGGCGGTGAAGCGCGAGTGGGCGCCGCGGCTCTTCCAGGGCGATCGCCTCAAGCGCCGCTCGGGTGGAGACGGCCGTGCGACGGAGACGAGGGTTGGTGGGAAGGTGGTGGGCCGGAAAGTGGAGAGGTGGCTGGGGGCAAAAAGGGTGTGTGGTGGGTGTGGTTATAGTAAGGGGTGGTGTGAAGAATGCTCAACTTGAACATGGAGGGAGTTGGGACGAGCTTCGAGTTGTTGTTTTTGGGGGTGCTTGTCCAATGGCTTTGCTTGTTGCTTGTAGTCATGAGTGGCCACTGAATTCACGCCAGAAACTCCAAGCCACGTGCTTTTGGTATATCGATGGATACCATCTCTCAACTGGTGTGATCGAGCGAAAGCGTTCGCTTTCACTCGCGTTCGCTCAGTGTCGATCTGCTCCCAAAGCTTCCAACCACCTCCTCCGTGGTGGTACTCCGGACCGCCGGCCGACCGGCCGACGGCCGGCCGACGCGAGGCACCAACTCGATGATGTCGCAGATCGACCTTTGGAGCGAAACGTTGGGGCCCTTCCTCGCGGGGCACCTCGGGCCGAGGAAGCGAGTAACGACAGAGGTCGCATCCGAACGTCGTCGCCACGAGAAGATCTATCTGCAAGACACCAAGTAGATCCAGCAGAGCACACTTAGCAACCACAGCCCCTCCGGGCCGAGCACGGGTGGTTTGGAAAAAACGCCCTGGAAAAAAGAGACCAAACTGGGTGTGGTCAACGGTGGGAGGTCAGGTCGGCGGAAACCGTTTGGGGTCAATACTGTGGAGGATGATCATTCTACGTTTTTGCTACTGAGGCCACTGTGACAGGGGAGTTGTACCAAAGATCCTCAAAAGAAAGTGGATGACTAGCCCCTTTTAACCTGCTACAAGAGCATCTCTAGACCACGGCGCCCTTTGTTTTATTCTCCAATTCATGGAGAGCTTCTCAATCAACAGGAGTCCCTTCGGCGAGATGACACATTTTCTTCAATATGTCAAAAAGGGAACCTTCCAGTGTTCCCCGCAGTGCAACTATTCTGCATCATAGTTATCTCCTAAAGTTTCTGGACATATAAATAGTCTTGGAAACCACGTGTGAGTAGGACATGTCATCGAATTCCCAGGACAGTAATTGCCGTGTTGTTTTTGGGGTGCTTGCTGTTTTTCGAAGAGTTGACCGCCTGCTGAGGCTACTGATCACAGGGCTTGACGATGTCTTTGGCTTCGTGGCTGTAGGGCCACATGGCTGTGCCAAGCAAATAGAATGGCAGTTTGAGGTAAAAACGCCTGGCCGCAGGGCTGTGCGTAGATACCAAGAGTGTCCGATTGGCTCAGGGAAAACTGAGACGTTGACCCAGAGCCCTGTGGATAAGCCATGTTTTGCCCTTTCTTGCCGCTGGGTGGGGTGCCAGGCTTTTGAACGTCCTCTCCTTCCCGCCACAGCTGCTGCTGCTGCGGCGCATCTACGCGGCACGCGCAGCCAAGTTGCAGCCGCTGCGGCCGGAGGAGGCGGGTGCGGGCCCTTCTTCAGCAGTTGCGCCATCCGTTTCGCCGGAAGGGAAGGAACTGTGAGGAACATCGGGGAACTGTGGCCTCTCCGTTTGGAAAGAAGCTCCTAGACCTTCGAAGGACACCTTACAGTAGCTCCGCACCCTCCATGTTAATTACATAGTGTGACATGGAGGGTGCTGTACCTCCGCTTGGAAACAGGGGAGCTGCTGTCCATGCTGACACTGTAGATCCCAAATTTGTCGGATTGGTTGGAACATTTGTGCATCAGCAGCACTCAACATGAAAGGAGCCTCCCTGTAGCTGTTTTTTGAAGAAGCAGCGGTTGCACCATGCAACTGATAGACTCTGATAGACTCTTACATCCCGATGAACACAGATGAACACGACTCATAGGAACTCTGGAGAAGAACTGCTATGACTCATGTTCAATCATAACAATCTGTTGAATCTGGAGGTAGTTCGACGAGAGTATTGCTGATGTTCTTTTCCACATCTAGGTTGGAGGCCAAAAAGTACGTCATAATTCATCAACTCAACATGTTTTGTTCATTGTTTTGGTCTTATGTCCTTGGTTTCCTTCGAAGTCTTCCGGAACAGACCTTCGCCGACCGCGCCAGGTGCACCGCAAGGCGAACCCCTTGACGCCCAAGGCGTGGTGGGTGAGGCTTCGGCCGTTGGAACCCAACAGAAGCAAAAAGGAACGTGTTTTTTCATCAAACAGTGTGGTAACATTGAGGACTAGGGATTCTTATGGTTACGTATAGTTAAGGAGGGGTGTCTGATCGAGGTGCGTGCATTTCGACTTCGCAGGCTCGCAGAATCTGGTGGGCTGGCGTGGGTGCTCTTCGAGACTGCGCACGACTACTACGACGACTACTATCACTACTACTGCTATTGCTACAACTACTACGAGCACTTGGACGAATACAACTACTCCTAGCAGTACTCAATCTCGACCGGATATGACGAGTAACACGACCACTACGACTCACATCAGAAAACCGGGGGAAAGCCGAAGACAGGGTCAGAAAACATGAGAAGGGGGCTTGCCCAACTCATTGGTGTACAGTGTGGGTCATAAATTGAATTGTCCGACACTGATATTTCCCCAAACACTGTGGCACACTGAGGGGTTCTTACGGTAGTGGAAAAGCAGGTGTGCTTAGATCGCTGTTCCGCGCGGCCGTGTCCGGCTAATTCGCTGTTGCAAGGGATCGGAGGTGTTTAACTTCGGAATGCAGTTTTCGTGGCAGGCGCAGCACTTTGGGCATGGTGGTGATCGTCGAAGAGCTCAGATTTCGTGACAGGTGCAGTGAATCGTGACTTTTGGACATGCGGCTCGTTTGCAGATTTCGTGGCAGGCACAGCACTCTGTGACCCTCGATGTGCAGATTTCGTGGCAGGTGCAGCACTTGAACCTCGAAGTGCACAGTCACACTCACTCTTCACTCGCACTCGCATTCACATCACTCTCACTCACATTCACATTCAATGCACACTCACACTCACACTCACTCTCACTCGCACTCACACTCACTCACTCTCACTCACACTCACTCTCATCCACACTCACTCTCACTCACACTCACTCGCACTCTCACTCGCGCTCACTCTCACCCACACTCACTTTCACTCACACCCACACTCACTCTCACTCACGTTCACTCTCATTCACACTCGCGCTCACCCACACTCACTCACCCACCATCACTCTCACTCACAGTCACTCTCACTCACACTCACACCCACACTCACTCTCACTCTCACTCTCACACTCACACTCACTCACTCTCCCACACTCACTCTCACTCTCACTCTCACACTCACACTCACTCCCTCTCCCACTCTCACTCTCACTCCGCCTCTCACTCTCACTCTCACCCACGCTCACTCTCACACTCACTCACTCACTCACTCACTCACTCACTCAGTCACTCACTCACTCACTCACTCACTCACTCACTCACTCACTCACACCACCACCACCAACAACATCTCCACCACCATCATAATCACCACTATCACCCCCACCACCATCGTCAACAACACCATTAATCATCACCTCGCTCCGGAACCCAACACGTCTTGATCTCTAGACCTTCTGTGTCTACACCTCTAGGACTTAGACCTTCAGATACACAGTATGATACACTGTTTGGGGTCTCTTGCCGGGATGGTGGATATTCTGGTGACGAAACAGTTTTGGTAGTGTAATGTCTAGTGACCTGGATACAGTAGGGGATGGACTGACTTTTGTGCTTCTGATAGCCTCTTTTTGAGAAGGGAATCACCCCAAAGAGCTAGAGTGAGGGTCACCCAGTTCTTCTTTCTTGGACCTGCTGGATGAACCAGTCACCAATGGTTGCCGCGGAAGTCTGCCCATGGGAAAATTTTCAGGCGACTCAATCTTTTGCAGCAAGGCACTTGATTGGTTTGTAGATTTAAGCACTGGTACATGAATCAAGCTATCCTCAAGCTCTTGCTTGGTTGCATGAAATTCAGGACGGTGTTTTTCGTCAGTTGCAAGAGCGCCTGATGTCGTCCTCACCTGAAGCGACTAAAATGGTATTCGGTGTAGCTGGAAAGGGGCTGAGGATCACTGGTAAAGTGGGAGACTTTGCAAAGGCAAGATACGAAGTTGCATTCGGTGTATATAGTGCAACCACGTGCAACCATTGTTGTTGGTGGTTTTCCATGACAAGGTGGTGGAAGGGTAGAGTAGTCGCTACGTGTTTCAAGAACCCTCTACGGTTCCAACACGTTCCAACCGTGAAGGAAGAAACCCTGCACTAGTTTGCACTAAGAACGCAAGTGTTTTCCACGCAGGAGTTCTTCCATCAAGAACAGCGAAAAAAATCTAGAAGGTTCACTCAAACAAACGGTAATATGAGGACCAGACGAATCACACCTAGAGAATGCTGAAGAATATCCAACCATCCTGGGCCCTTTTTCTGGTCGTGTCGTCTCTTCTTCCTTCTTCGGACGCCCGAAAGACCTTCTTCGGGCGTGGGGTCTCCGAAAAGACCGCCGCAGACGGGTGCGTGGAGTGCGTGGCTCCATCATCCCAGTGGCATTCAGCCGCTGGGCGGGACGGGTTGGGTGATGGGATGATGATGGGTGGGTGGCGAGAGCGTTGTTTTTTGGGGTAGAGGGGCGGTTGTTGTGGTTCTTCGGGTTTAGGAGGTTGGGTTTTTGCAGGATTTGCTGGAAAATTCGGTTGTTTGAGGGTGTTTTGTGGCATCCCAGACAAAGCTTTTCAGTGGCCAGAATAACACCACTGCTTGGACATCGACAAAAAGTCACTGAGAACACTGTGTGACTGGCCGTCCAAGCTTTTAAAGGCGACATGTACTTAACCACAACTTCAAGTACTTAACCATGGCATATGGTATGTTAACCACTTTCAAGTGTTTGGTGCACCGGTGTTATGGCTCTCGACTTCTTTTGCCCAAACGACCTATATACTAAACGTCACCCGGCGTGACCTCACGCCAAACACTAGTTTGATCAGATCCTGTTTCTTTTTTGCCAGAATACACTATGGAATTTCGCAACCCCACCGTGAAAATAACAAAAAAATATTAT